AAAAAGCACAAGGACATGCTTTTACAGTGGTTTACATTTTCACCCACTCTCCATTCCCCCTGCAATCTGTAAGTCCTCTGGTAGCCAAAAGCTACCTGATTGGTCCTGAGCACATTCAGTGTATTCCTTGGTTCTAGTGCTTTTTGCCTGATTTGGGGTGAGTTCAAATGACATCTGTGAACTCAGAAAGCAGGTTCCCAGATGCTTGGGAAGGGTTGGGACCCTGACAACACTTTTGCCTTCAGCAAAAAATGTATTTCAATATAATTATAGTAGATAGCTTTCAATATGTCATCTCTATTATAGCAGCTGTAAATTATGAGTGAATTGCCTGTGTACAAGCATTTCTTCTGGTACAAGCAAAGTGGGAGAGCTGCATAGAGCATTATATATCTTTTCCTTTTTAACTGAGAAGAAATCTTGAAGTCAAATTTCATTTGCAAAAACCAATGTGTCCATTTCCTTTTGGTAGGGTGGTGGAGGAACCAAGAAAGACCAGTTCAATAGAAGGCCCGTACTTCTTAAAAACAAGGCTTCCCAGGAACCTTGGCTTAAGTTCTAGGAACTCACCTATTCTAACAGTGGTCCTTTAACCATAAGAACATATTTGCAAGGTACAGTAAAGGCATTTTTCAAAAGCTGTAGCTAATCAACAAGACGACAGAGAAGCAACTAGGTTTGTCTCTTAGCTAAAAAGCGAGGCAATGTACCCAAGATGAAGTATTACAGGACAGTTTGCCGCAAGCTTTGGAAAATTTTCATATTCCTGCTGGGTGTTAGAATCAACAAGAAGAAATTAAATAGTTTTGTTTCCTTTTGGGTGGCAGTAATATTCAAGAACCTTACCCTAACATATATCCCATGCCTAATATTTCAAAAGTGTTTATAAGTGAATTTTTAGATGGTTATCATCAAGAATCATTAAATCTGAGCCTATATAATAGAGACATATGATAAAAGAACAATTTTCTGGAGGGAAAAAAGACAGGATTTTAAAGACAATACCATCTCTAAAACATATACATAAAACTGAGCCTTGCAGCTTGGATTTAATTTTGCTCAAACTGTAGCTCTAGTCTGTCTGCTTAGCTTTGTAAATGTGGCTGTGCTTATGAGGTACTTTAATTTACTGCAGTAGTGATGTTTGTTAATTTTATGGCAATCTAAATCTAAACAGGCTTCAGATACATTTTCATTACAGCTTCATTGTGAAACACAGTAGAGTGAATAACTCTTAAGATTCCAATGTAGTTTATTTCTAAAAGACTCAACACAATTTTCTGTTGAAGCCTTTGTCTTAACATATATGTTCTTCCTATTTACTATTAAGCTTTCTGTCACTCAGAGTACCCATGTTCACTCTTAGGAGGAAAAATATAATTTCTGGAAAGTGATTAAAATAGTTGTTTTTGGCTGGGCACGGTGGCTCACACCTGTAATCCCAGCACTTTGGGAGGCCACAGCAGGTGGATCATGAGGTCAGGAGTTCAAGACCAGCCTGGCCAAGATGGTGAAACCCTGTCTCTACCAAAAATACGAAAAAAACAAAAATTAGACGAGCGTGGTGGTGGGTGCCTGTAATCCCAGCTACTCGGGAGGCTGAGGCAGGAGAATCACTTGAACCTGGGAGGTAGAGGTTGCAGTGAGCTGAGATCGCACCACTGCACTCCAGCCTGGGCGACAGAGTGAGCCTCTGTCTTTAAAAAAAAAAAAAAGTTGTTTTTCCATCTGCTCGATTCCCATTTCAAATGCAAACCAACACAGGAAAATCAGAGAAAACCAGAATGTACCTGAATTATTTTCCAGTTCTACATGGGTAGCAGCACAATTCAATGAAAAAGGAAGACATATTTTCAGAAACTGATTTCAACGTCTGATTCTGACACTAACTAGATGTGCGACATTGGACAAATCACTTACCCTCTCTGAGTCTCATTTTCTCCTCTATAAAATGGAAATTACAATAATCATCTATTTTAGAAGTCCTATCCCTTCTTAGCTCTGTTTAGCCCTTCTTGTAACACCAAAGCACGTCTCTGAAAGGACCATCCAGATAAAGCCCTTGTACCCTAAAGAATTGAAAGGAAAAGTTGACTGTTTTGGGTCAAAATGCACCGATCCTAATAATTTAGGAGAACAACAGTCACAAGAGCTAAAAAAAACCAGCCCCCAAGACAACTTAAAAGAATTAAATGCTGCTACATCACTTCTAAAACAATTCCAAACCTACAGGAGAAAATTTGTAAATTAAAATTCTGCTGAATCTGCCAACTAGTCATCATACCCCATCTATTCATTTGTCTCTACTGTACAGATTTTATGTATCTCTATTTTTCCATCTGAAGTATTAAAACAAAAAAGGAACTATATATTTAGATTGTTATTAGGCTACTGATTATATCCAGAAATAATTCTTGAATACATTTTTAAACTCAGTGCTTCCCAATTTGATCTTCAATTAAAAAAAAAGAGATAAATGTATGAAGAACATGCATATACATGTATATTTTAAAAGCCAAAACAAAACAAAACAACAACAAAAAACTCTGGTGATTTGATGCTGTTATCAGCTGGGGCTAAAGTTACCTAAAATCTCATGGAAAATTTTGTAGGATATTTCTAAAACAATGAGACTCAGGACCTTGTCATTGACTGACACCAGCTTCGCACAACTTCCACCAGGGTTGTATGGAGAAGTAAGGAGGCAGGTGTGAACACACATGGCAGGAGGTAGTAAGGAACCGCCTTAATTCCTCAGCCAAAAAACTCGGGCCATTTGGCCTCTAACATTATATCTCTTTCCATGCAAGGTGACTGGTGATGTTTATCTAGTAAGTAGGTATGGTTATTTTAGCATAAAGTTATACAATTAGGAATATACTACAAATAAGAGTCATTTTCTACTGTTTATGCTCAGGGGCAACCTTTTCAACCATGACTTATTTTGTTTACTCTCAATTATTCATACGTCAAATCAGAAAATGGGATTTTTTTTTACATACATACATACACACGATAATTTTTCCAAAATTCTTATTTGTACATTTTCCACCGAAAGTTATTCTTACAAATGAGACTAGACATACAGTTCTAGATCCCAGAAAATCCTATTCCAAAAATAGAAAACATCTTATAATATATTAATTTACATTACAGTTTAACTTAAAGATATACAAATTTTTCTACTCTCCCTCAAAACACACTCACCTCTGGGATAGGATTCAGCATTTGCTTAAAACCATTGTATCCAGAATATTAGAAAAGGCAATGTGAAAAAAATACGACGACATATTCAACTGAAACTATACAGGGAACATAGAGGAAAAAAAAATCAGTATTAAAACTGATCAGGGGTTGCCAGGGATCAGTGGGGAGGAAAGAATAAAAGAGAGGGATGAATAGCACAGAGGATCTTTAGGGCAGTGAAAATACTCTGTATGAGCCTATAATGATGGGTACATGCCATCATAAATTTATCCAAATCCATAGAGTGCACAATACCAAGAGTAAACCCTAATGTAAACTATGGATTTTGGGTGATAATGATGTGTCAATGTAGGTTAATCAATTTTAACAAATGAACCCCTCTGGTAGGGGATGCTGATAATGGGAGAGACTACGCATGTGTGAGGAAAGGGGGTATACGTGATATCTCTCTTCTTTCCTCTCATATTGGTCTTGTGAACTTAAAACTGCTCTTTAAAAAAGTCTTTAAAACACACACACACACACAAAACTCACCAGGACTCCCATTTCACACTAAAGTGTGTGGACTTTAAAAAGTACTTGCCTACATAGTGAAATACTCGTGGGTGAAATTATAGGATGTCTAAGACTTGCTTTAAAATACTCTACCAAATTGGGGCTGGGTACACAAAATAAGAGTGGCAAAATGTTGATAACTATTTATCTGCGTAAAAAGTAGCTGATTCCTTATTTGGGGTTGAACTCTATGAAATTACCATATTCAACTGTTTCTGACCTCAAAACTTAGCAATTTCATAGGGTTCAGTCTAATACTATTCTCATTATTTTTGTGTACATGTGTTATAAAATGTTCCATAATAATACGTTTTTAAAATTATCTTCCAAATGACAAATCTTATCAAATGAGAATTCCTCCAACTTGACAGCTTTTCAGCATTAAACTAGTAACTAAAATATGTGTAAAAAAGACCCACCAATATTTTACTTTATTACATTAAATCTAAGACTCACTTGTTTTTCCCTACATTTTAACATCTCTGAACTGTGAAAGCATTCTATAATCAGTAATATTTTATAGTTAAACTAGCAGTATTAATTTTTTCTTGGTGGTACATAAAATAATGATGCAACTTAAAATCAAAGTTATCTTAGATTCAGTATGGTTAATATAATTGCTGAGAATTGGATTTTTAACCCATATTCTCTTTCTAATCAGGAATTTAGCACATAATGCCTTGCCTAACACTCCCTGTCCTGGGGTACCCATAATTATCTTGGGAGGTCTCATACTCAGAGAAACAGGCCAGAACCTGCTTACTTGGTGAAGTTCCCTATAGTCTGGCACAATCCATAAGAATTAATTCCCAGGAGGATTCTGGAGCTCACAGCATAGGAGGGAAAAGCTCACTGTGCAATGCTTCCCTTCAAAAGTGATTAAAGCTTATGAACAAGGCTAGTGCATAAATGTTAATTATACAGAGCTTTGAAGAGCACCAAGTGGTGAGGTGAGAGGGAAGAATGACTGCAGGTGTGGTAATAAGGGCACGTGAATGTGAGGAATGAATAAAACTAAAACAAGTAGATGAGATAAAATAGGTAGAGCTCCACCTCCAAAATCTCAAAGGGTCTTCATTTCATGAATCCAACAATTCACTTGAATTTTTGCATTGACCTTATTTATTTTGTAATTTGTGTTAACACCTACCCCTCACAGCCCTCAGAATTGGTTAGCATGGTCTAATAGAAGAGCAACAGAGGGTTTGTGTAGGACTATGAGAGTGGCGGCTGCTGACCTGTTCATATTTCTCCAGTTCTGTGTGATAGATTTGTCTGATCTGGGTCAATTTGGCTCTGTAATCTGAGTGTTCAATAGAGTTATCTGAAGAACCTCCAGAGGCTGCCGCGGCTGCAGCTGCTGCCGCCGATCCCCCACCTTTCTCAGGACCTGAAACCCCTTCTGCCAAAAGCATATTGTCCAGTCTCATTAGCTGGGGATCGGGAGGGTCCTCCTCCTGGGCTCCTCTGATGCTGAGACCTTCAAGGAAAGAGAGAGAGAGACAGAGAGAGAAGAAGCGAGAAACAGAGGACAAATAGTGTGAGTATTTTGTTTATTTGAGAAAATGATCAAACAACATCAGTGTACTACAATTCATGCTGAGAACTTCATTGTTCACATTTGATCAATAAGTTTGAATAAGTATGAAAATTATTTTCAAGATAATGTTTACATGCACCCTAGAATTTTAAATATCCCCCAAGTACCTCAATTTACCACAGATAGATCCTTAGAAAAAGGTAACCCTGGCTTCCTTGAATATTTTAATCATCCAAGCTTCCCAGATTCAGATAATTTAAGCATAAAATGGGAAGAAGGTAAAAAAATGGAAGGTTTTAAGAAAGAAAGAAAATAATTACAGGGATATAAAACAAACTCATCCAAAGGTGGTCATTCTGTCTCTCTGTACAGTTGGAGAAACAGAATTAAAATTCCCTTAAAATAATTCACAAACTGTAATCGAAAATTGAAAAATAAACAAGATTAGATGAGCTTTTCCATCATGTGATTTCAGAAGAGGAATACATACATTATGAGGCAATTAGCTATACTTAAATATATATATTATTAAATGAATATTGTTAAGTGATTGCTAGCAAACTATAAAATGAGGATACTAAATACAGTATTAAAAATGTGCCACTGACATGGCAATACAGTTCTGGGCACAGTAGTCTCAATCTAATTTTGCTTTTAAATCAAGAACTTCCTAAGTGATGCCCAGTCAGCAACCTCTTCTGAGTACTATAGATCACAGCTGACAATTCATAGGTTTAATCAGGTCACACAGGCTTTCTGCCAAGATGTTTTCAACAACACAGAAGACAAAGTTTTAAAATAATTATCATGGTATAAAAAGCACTGGAGTCATGACAGCTGAAAATCAGCATTTTCATTAACGTGTAACATAATCTAAAACATCCCAGCCCAATTAACCTCTGTAACTCCGCTTAAAAACAGGTTCCCTACACTAGTTACAAGTCTTCTTGGGGAAGGGGGAAAAGGAAGTTGGCACCTTGCTTGTTTGTATTTGGATTCTGTCTTTTGAGTCTGTGCCTGTTGTTGTTTATCCACAGTGGTACACACTTTGTGTCTAGTGTAACTCACATGACATAACATCTATAAGCTGCCAAGTACTCAACTGATCACCAACTCTGATTTTATATGCTAACCTAAAGCTACCATCAATTCTTTTAAGAACAGATTTCATTCCTAGATGCTCTGAATTACATCCATGGCATGACAGAGCTCTTGGTTGCCTTAACTCAGATACACAACTTTAATTTCTTCCCCAAAACACTTTAAAGCTGTCACTTTCATTTAAAATTATACTTCAGAATAATTTCAACTGGATAATAAAACTAACCCATCATCATTTAAAATTATATCTGTTGTCTATTCAGAGGCAAATAAGGTTTGAAAACTATAATATACTAAGACAATATATTCATTTAGGAGAGCAAAAAGATAACTCATAAAATGCATATCAACACACTGCTGATAATTAAAAATAGGCAAACATGTATTTGCTGTTTCTTCTATAACTAAAAAGGATTGCCTAATATTGTTCTAGAACTGCCATGTATTGGTTAAGTTTGTATTGCTAATGTAAATCTTCAATTTTCCTCTCTTTTAATTCACTTTGTTAAATGTCAAAATCTCATGACCTGTACATGCTTGTAGTTCACATAGCAAGTTTTTTGTGCATTTGGCATGCAATGAGGGCTTACTGAACAATCTCTTATGCTGCACTTTGATTTGTTTAATTTTTTGTTCTTGTTTGAGGATTTCTTAATTTTCTCCATTTTAAACTGAATTTTTGCCCACAGTTTTGTGTGTTTGTTGATTTTTGTATTTACACAGACACTGATGCTTCTCCTGAAATGTGTTTTTTAAATCTACCTTCAAGTTTCCTCTGGGTTTCTAGATTTCCCCTTGTAGTTAAACACATTGATCTTTTCCCTATGGACATGTGGTGAAGTACTTTAATAGCAGATTAACTTCCATAGCCAAAAAGATTACACTTCCCTGCAAACGTATGGCAAACAAGAGAAGCAGCTCAATGACTAATATCCAAGGAATTACACCATAAGAGAGACAGAAGGAAATTCACTAGGAAGAAATGCAAAAGGCACAAAACTAATTAGCCATCTATGATACTTTTATACATACTTAATATGTATATAAACCATCATTATCATACCAATGAGAAGCAATCCATAAGCTCAATAGCCATGGATACAAATAAAAACAATTATAAGTATACAGTGTCAACTACTGTAACATTTTACTTATAATGAAAAATATCTTATTTCTAAAATTATCAGTAAATCAACACTAAGTGCTTGCCTCAAGAACAGGAAAATATGTTTTAATGCAATACTTTGTATTTACTTTATAAATTATGTGAATCAAATTTTATCAGAAAAATCATTTCCTGACAGAAAACTCATATTTCTTTAGATGAAAAGTACTAAAGCACTTTGCAAATAGGCAACATGAAAAAGACTATCAATAATAAAGGAATTTTCATAACTAGTCTGAAAAGTCAATCGGTTTCTTTTCTTTATTAAGCAAAGTAATGAATACGGGATCTTTAAATAGTAATACCTGGTTTCCAAAATTATTTTCAATTTGAATATTTCTATTTATTTTCTTACTTAAAAACATTTAAATTACCATTTTATTCCTCATCCTACCTACCTAGCTACTCACTATTACTTAGTTTACTAACTTTCTAGAGTCACACTGGCTTTTAGTCATAATACCTACTCCTCTGGGCACCTATAAACATTTTAATGGGTCTAAATTTGCAAGGGTCAGAATGAATCAGACTGTGTGGTTATCAAAAGATCTTGATATCTTCAAATTGAACCATGGTAAAACAATCATTTAAAATTTGATTGTACTTGTTTTTAATCCAAAATGTATATATGATGAAACATACAGAGGTTTATAAAGGTTTACATCTAGGTTCTTTGGTCATCACAACCTTATAAAGTTTAAAAAAAAAACAAACCCTGTTTGCAACCTACTTATAATCACAACATTCATTTCTGTATCCCTAAGATTTAGACAAATCATACAAACACAGTAAAACATTGTTTAACAATGAACTTGGCTTTGTTATAAGCCTACCATTTTTGCATATCTTTCAGCAAATCCTAATTAGCTGTCTTTCAACATGCTGTGCACCTGCCCCACAGATAATGGGAGAGAGCATCTGCATAGACGACTGCATTCGGAGGGCAATAAATAAATTACGGGTCAAAATTATTACAAAGCTTTCTCCGAATAAACGCATACCCTTCACAATTCTAAGCTGCAGATGTGAAAAGTACCTAAAGCCCACTCAAATGGTATGATTACGGGGCTGTTTGAGTTTAATAATCTGACTGTAATTCAGGCATTTTCAACAGCTCATTAAGGGTTCATTAATATATAGGCAAGCTTTTGAATTATAAATAAGCAGATTAGAAATCTGCATTGGCTAGATTGTACAGTAGGAGCCTTTCTAACAGAAGAACACTGTAACACAACGAAGGCTTGACCTTAGTGAATGAGGTGCAAACAGCACAGTGCACTAACTAAGCTTCGTGGCTCCCTCATTTCAAGGAGCAAGCCCACTGGACCATAACTAACCTCTGTTCATCCAGCACTGAAGAATATGGCTCCAGACCACAGCTATTTCAGATATGTTCTACACATGGTCCTGAATTAGACGTAACTAAGATCTAGCCCTACAATATTTCCATAATCAGGGAAGATAGACAATATCTACAATCATGATAAAAGTTGTCATCACATCACTTTTACTTTGTAAAGAGTACATTTTTCAGACCTGCCGAGAAACAAAAAGCTATTATGGAAACTTGAGTTGTTTGATTTTTCTCTCCTAATGAGCATACCATAAATTGAGTCCCCCAAATTATTCATAAGCTTAGGCCTATGACATCACTATAATTTTGTTTTCTAATGTTTTTTTATTCATTCAACTACCACATCACAGTCTTAGCTCAGGGAAAAATGTTTTAGCAGAGTACCATGTAAAACAAGGCCAGATCAGATATTTTCAGCAGGCCCTGAATTCTTGACTGCCCTGAAATAAGTGACAATTTAAATATTAATATTTTTAGTTATTCTTATAATTTTTCATACCTTTTCTTTTGTGTCTGTTATTTTAAAGTAACATGCAGGATAGTGGTCAGAAGTCACAAAGCTAATTAGTAAAAATACCTACTTTACTTTCTGTGCTTTCTTCATTTAAAAATCAAGTCAGCCACAGTTTGAGAAATTTAACCCAAACTGTAGATAAAGAAGAAAGATTAAGACAGACATGTTGCTACTTTTCTCCCCAAACATAAAAAAGGTAAAATAATTTTCTATCTGAAATCCTTAAGTAAAAATCAGTCAAAATAGGAGGCAGGAGATCTGGAAATGAAATTAAGGTCACAAGCCCCATGGTCATGAGATCTCATTTGAAACAATTACTTTTTGGTTGTGAAAACTGGGATATAATTTGGAAACAGTGGTGAAAGACACTAAAAAACCCTCAAGGCATCACTGTCTAAACTAGACTTAAGTATTGGGGGTTGGGAGGGTAAGGTTCTCAGTTAAACAGCAGGTGGACTAGAGAGAGAGGGCTAAGAAGCCAAGTCCAGGAAAGGCAGACCCTTAAGTAAGGACTGACTGAAAAAGAAAAAAAGGCCAACAGAATGATATCAACACACCCTGACAAAGATCCGGAATAATATTTGCACCTGAATTTCACACTCTCCTCCTTAGGTCTAAAGATGAAGCTTGTAATGAAAGAAATAGTCATATTATTTTGTAGACATCAACAGAAAACAACTGCAAAATAACTAATTTTTAAAAGATTATGAGGAAATGGCAGGTGATCTAGTTGCCCATCACAACCCATGGCCCCAAAGCCCATCCCACTGCAGCTCCAAATCTCCTTTTAAGCCAATGTTAGTGTC